ACTTAACCCATCCACATACACCTTGAATTATAGTGTTTTTAAATAATTTCTATGACAATACCCAAAAGAACTAAAATTAAAATGACAGTTACCACCTTGAATGATAATGTAAAAAGTCAACATTATTTGGAATAAAGCCAAAATATCATATGATTAAAAAAGTGGCATTCTTTCCTTATTAATTAAATTATAAAATGAACACTATTTTAGGAATCAAAATAATTATTTTATTAATACTGTTAAAGCGGCCACTGCTTTCTGACGATTATTTTTAACAGATGTTGCTTCATTAGGAAGATTATTCTTCGATCCTACAATGTGATAACACATTAAAATACAGTTTAAAATAAAAAATTTTTTACCCATTGCTATTATCTGTACCCTCAACCAAAAAAAAAGAGAATGCCAAATACATAATGACATCTTAAAAGGAATTTATTTATTTATTTATTTATTTTTCCATTCAGAAATTTACACTTCCTCCCCTCCTCCCATTCCCCTCCTGCTCCCCTGCTCACCCTCCTCCCTCCCCCTCTTTAAGAGAGGGCAGGGAACCCTGCCCTGTGAGAAGTTCAAGCCCCCCCTCTACATCCAGGCGTAGGAAGCTTTGCATCCAAATAGACAAGGGTCCCAAAAAGTCAGTACATGCAGTAGCAACAAGTCCCAGTGCCTTTATCAATGGCTTCTCAGTCAGCCCCCATTGTCAGCCACAATCAGAGAGTCCGGTTTGATCACATGCTCACTAAGGCCCCGTCCAGCTGGATTTGGTGAGCTCCAATTAGAACAGGCTCACTGTCTCAGTGAGTGGACCAACCCCTCGAGGTCCTGACTTCCTTGCTCGTCTTCTCCCTCCTTCTGCTCTTCAACTGGACCTTGGGGGCTCAGTCTGTTGCTCTAATGAGGGTCTCTGTCTCTATCTCCATCCGTCTCTGGACGACGATTCTATGGTGATATTCGAGATAATAATCAGTGTGATAGTGGGACAAGGACAGTTCAGACACCCTCTGCTCTGCTGCCCAAGGACCTAGCTGGGGACATCCCCGTGGACACCTGGGATCCCCTCAAGAGCCAAGTCTCTTGCAAACCCTAAAATGGCTCCCTTAAAGTAGATATCTTCTTCCATGCTCCTATATCAGCCCTTCCCCCATCTCCACCCTCCCACTCCCCCAAGCTCTCTGCAGTCTTTCCTTTCTCCCTTCTCTCTCCCCCTCTCCCCTTCCCCCAGCCCCACCCCTACCCTTACTGCTTCCAACTTTTGCCTGGGCAATCTTGTTTGCTTCAAATTTCCAGGAGGATCTATATCTATTTTTCTTTGGGTTCACCTTGTTATTTGGTTTCTCTATGCTTGCGAACTATAGGCTTAATGTCCTTTGTTTATGGCTAGAGTCCATTAATGAGTGAGTACATACCATATTCATCTTTTTGGGTCTGGGTAATCTCGCTCAGGATAATGTTTTCTATTTCCATCCATTTGCATGTTTTATGTAAAATGATTTTTAAATGTTAGTATAATTTCTGCTTATCTGGTTAAATCTATTAGCTTTTTTTAAAAAAAACTTATTTATTAATTACGTATACAAGGTTCTTACTGCATGTAAGCTTTCAGGCCAGAAGAAAGCACCAGATCTCATTACTGATGGTTGTGAGCCACCATGTGGTTGCTGGGAATTGAACTCAAGACCTGTAGAAGAGCAGTCAATGTTCTTAACCTCTGAGCCATCTCACCAGTTCCATCTATTAGCTTTTATATTACTTTTTTTCAGACAGTCTCTCTGTGTAGCCCTTACTGTCTTGAAAGGCATTCTGTTGACCAGTTGACCTCAAGCTCAGAGATCCACCTGTGTCTTCCTCCAAAGTGCTGGAATTACAGATGTGTGTCGCCACTGCTCAGCCAGTCTTTACATCACTTTAGCTGACTAAAGTTGGTCGGTGCTCAGAGTTTAAAAATTTGAGTCCCCTTAGAATTTTTAAGGGATTGTGTAGTTTCAACAACAATGAACGTCTCTAAGAAAAAATAGGTTTAGCTAAAATTAGCATCATTTAGAAACAATGAGCTTCTTGTCCAATTAACAACTAGCAGACTACTAAAGAAACCATTAAGATACAGATATAAGTAATTAATAGTAATGATCCTATTGACTTACTATATTTCATTTATTCTTACATATAGCTGTATGATTATTCATTTATTTATTTACACATAATGGAATCACTAAACACATACATCATCATTTACATCTGAGAGAAAACAAAGGCAATAACCAATCCCTATAGATGTGCCTTGAAATCTGGTTACTATGCAGAAACATATTGTACATGCAGCATTAAAATTAATTTTCTGAAATGGAGGACATACTACTTTGATCTCTGTCTCACAATGAGTTTATGTCAAGTTGTTACTTCAAAGTAGTCATCGGGTTACATTCAAAGATATGTAGGGTGCCAGATATTGTCCTAGGCATTTAATATACATTACTATATTTAATCCTTATCCAAAAATAAAAGTCACTATAATAATTCCCATTCATTACTTGAAGAGGATGAATGTCAGAATGGCAGGAACATTGGTGGATACGTAGCTATATTCTGAGCAGAGCTTCTCATGTGGGTCTGGCTGACTCAGAAGCTGAACCCCCACCATATAAGGAGACACTTAGGGTTAATTTCCTGCGTGGGACTGTTCTCTTGCAGGCAGTATAGTGACAACTAAGGCTAGTCCTAAAATGGCCATAAAGTCTGGGAATTCATAGAAGTGAGTATCTTAGGATACAGATTAGTCTCGTGTTCTGAAACGGCTCTGTGATCACAGAGGGGAGACGCGTTGTTAGCAGTTCCTCCCACTTACAGTTGTCAGAGCTAGCAAATGAAGGAGCAGACATCTAACATAATTTGAATTTCAGATGAAATTTGCATTTTAAATGTTGCCTGGAACAAGCATCCACAGGAAATCATTTATCTGAAATTCAAATTTAGGTGGGTGTCATGTATGAAGTCTCAGAAACATACTCCCCCTTGTCCTCCACACATCTATGAATACTAATTTACACCTTACACAGAAAAGCAAGTGAGACCTTTCAAAATATTTTAGCAATGGTTTATTTTGTTATGGGTTATGTTTGTTTGTTTGTTCCTGATGGGGTCTCACAATGTAGCCCAAATTGTCCTGAAAGTCACTGTATAATCTCACTTGGCTTCCACATTAGGGCACTCTGCCTACCTCAGCCTTCAAAGTACTGGGATTTCAGGAATGACCACCCATGTCCAGTTAAAATTTTGACAACCATAATACGAAAGATCATTGCAGAATGTAATTAGGGTACAGAAGCAAAACTATAAAGGAGAAAAGTCATCTGTAAACTTAGACATGAACTCATTTTGCATTTACTTTTTCAATGTGCAAAGATGAAGAAAATGTCAGTGGTATGTTAAATATTTTGACTTTATAATAAAATGTATTAGATAATTATTTTCCATTCATCTTGGCTCTTGATATTATGAAAGGATGAGAAAGCCATTCTTGTAATATTGAAAAGAGAGTTAAAGAGAAAAAAACATAAATTAGGTTATAAAAGTTCATTTTTGTTTTGAGGATTTAGTCAGCTTCTAAATATTGGCATTGCAAACTTTATCTATAATGGTTTACATTATTCTGTACTCTGCTCTCTTTTCCAGACAAATCTATTTTTGAGAAAACATGAAGTCTGAGATAAACAGTTTTTCTGGAGATGTTTTTATCCTTCTTTGTAAAATTCTAGCAAAACAGCCCATCTCCGTGGCAATCTTGCCCTTAAAATATGATTACGCACATACACACTCCTATTGCAAGCTTTCAGTTGAGTCTGAGATCTTGCTACCACCTTTGTGCAGGTTAATTTTAACTGTCAACTTTGACGGGATTTGGACTCACCATGGAAATAAATCCATAGTGTGTACGTTAGGGAGTTTCTAGATTGGGCTCGGTGAGGTCGGAAGACTCATGCTAAGTGTGGGCAGCATTATTATGGGGCGTACTGGGGTCCTGGACTGAAAAGAAATAAGAAGAGGTGCTGAAGAAACATCCATATATGTGTTTCCTGACAGGGGAGACATTGTGACCTGCTGCTTCCTGGTCTCTCCATCTGGCCTTCCCTGCCAGGATGGACTGTATCACCTGAACTCTAAAAGAAAATAAAGACTTCCTTTAAATTGCCTTAGTTAGGTAGTTTATCATAGCAATAAGACAAAGAGCTCACATATTGTCATCCCATCCACTCCTCAGAAAGGATAAGGCTTCCTATGGGGAGTCAACAAAGTCTGACACTTCACTTCGAGGCAAGACCAAGGCCGTCCCCCATATCAAGGCTGAGCAAGGTATCCCTCCAAAGAGAATATGCTCCTAGACAGTCCAAGTACTAGGTATCTATCCTAATCCTACTGGCAGTGGCTCCACAGGCTGCCCAAGCCCCACAACTGTCTCCCATATTCAGTGAGCCTAGTTTGATCCTAAACAGGTTCCCCTGATATCTGTCCAAAATCAGTGAGCTCTCACTAGCTCGAATTAGTTATTTCTGTGGGTATCGCCATCATGGTCTTGACCCCCATGCTCATGTTATCCCTCTCCCCTTTCTTGGACTGGTCTCTGGTAGCTTGGTCCAGTGTTTCACAGTGGATGTCTGTATTTGCTTCCATTTGTTGCGAGTTGAAGTTTCCGTAGAGCTATTTTTTTTTTTTTTTGAACTCTGGAGTTTTATTCAGTGTGTCTCTGGGTCTAGAAAAAGGTGTTAGGCCTCTTGGTAGTGAAGCAAGGCTTGTGCTGGCGCCGCAGAACACGGTGGGGCAGCGGGAACTTGATCTTGGAGTCGTGGAACTGTTTGACAGCCGGCCTTCGACACTTGCCCGCCGCGATCTCTTCCACCTTCATGATCTGGATGGAGTGTGCACGGGCACGGTGCCGGGCACCCATGTCACGGTCTGTGGAAGGAGAAGGAAGTCAGCCCCAGACGCATGGCTCCTGTTCCCAGGGCTGTGGAACCTCCTGATTCACTCTGGTGGGGGCACCGCACAGCCCCTCAAAGGCGACGAAATTCCTTTGTTGTGTGCACCACCGTAGAGCTATTCTTGATGGTGAAGTTCTATGTGGGTTTTTTCTGGAAGCTGTACTCCCTCTGCCTCGTACACCATTTGAAAATGGAAAGATATTTAGACAAGAAAGCTATGTTTCATATGTCACAATCTTATGTCCAAGAAAGCACTACCCAGCCTGATGTCTCTTCCTGTCTAAACTATTAACATAGTACCCCTAACAGTAGTCGTTCCATTTATTAATAGTCTCATACCTAACAGGACATGAACTACATGTGCAGACATGATTTATACATTAAAATCTTCAATTTAGTCACTGCAATCCAGTTACCTATTGGCTCATTCTCCTTTCTTTCCTTACTAAACTTATATTTTCTGTACCATAATCTGTTGGGACCAATTGGGGTCCTGGCCTTCAGCTGCTCTTCCCTGTCTAGAGTCTTCTAATTGAAGCTACTAAAAGCTGTGCCTTGCCTAGAGGATCAGAGGATGGGATTTTCACCTGTTGACCATTGACTGCTGGGTATTTAAGCCTCCATGGTGCTGTTAAAGGGGGGGAGGCTTTGTACCAATGATTGGAGGTCCGTGTGTCTGTCTCTCTGTGTGTTTCCTCAACCTCCAGCCCCTTGCCCAAAGCTCGCGAACTGAATTGTAGCGCATAGAGCGCAGACAGGGGGCGCGGTGTGTGGCAATAATCAAAATTTCTCCTTGCAAATGTCCAATATTCCTTGTTTTTCTTTTTTTTCTTTTAAACTGACTCACAAAAAAAACCCAAAACTCAAATCTTGTTTAGCCTGGTGCCCAGATAACTAACTGTTTTATCCAAGTTTGCAAATGACCAGCAGAATATTGCTTGGAGTGACCAGTGCATAGGCTGATTTGTCTCTGAAAATATTATCATTAGCCTCCAAAACACTTTCAATCTTGTCCAGCTCTATTATCCTATTTTAACTAGTCAGTTTATTTCCTGCATGTCTCTCCTCCGATAGTCTACTTTGTAGGTTTTAGGACAGTTTTGTTTCTTCAGCCAAGTATGCCATTGAACCACAGTTGCCGCCGCTCCTCACTTCTTTACTGATTCATGCTGCACTAACAAATTGACTGTGTTCTCTTTCAAGAAACAACAACAAAAATCCATTCAGTCATAAATTCTTCTGTTTTTTCATCACTTAGTCTACATGCTTAACTGCATCAATAATTTCTGAATATTACAAGAGTTCCTATGTTAGACAAACTTACCGTCAAAGTCTGAAAACCCAAAGTAAGTCAGCAATTAAAATACGTACATGTCCATCAAAGTTCACAATGTAAGGTTGTAGGACACAAAAATATAATGATCATGAGGTACATGTCACACTTTAGTGCTGAGAAATACATACCAGAAATAAGTTAAACACTGTTTTTAGAATCAGAAAAAAATGGACTATGAGAAATTATCTCTCTCTATAGAATATAATTAAGTTTTGCTGACTGAGAATGGGGAATTCTGAGGATTAATGCACATTTACCAGTTGGAAAAATTTTAAGTAATGAAAAAAAAGACCAAAAATAAGTTAAGAAATTCTGAGAACCTCAGTTTGGGAACGGAATTTGAAAATGAGCAGATAGAAACTGTAGATATAAAGTTTCTTCTTTCACAGAACTCAGTTTTCATTGTGAAAGAGATATTTTTTTCACCAAGATCTGACAAGAGAGAAATCCCTCAACACATTTATAAATATATCTTGGTGGCTCGATGTGTGCTGAAACCATGCAATGTATTTCAATTGTCTCTATTATTATCTGCAACACTCAAAAATAGTGAGACATGAAAGCCAAAATAAAACAACCAGAAAGAAACGGGCTGTTGCTATGCTATAATTACTGCGTGTCCTGCTCTCACTTTTAGAAATGTATCAAATGCTTCAAAATTAGAGAAATAGCCTTATCTTAGACTTTAAAATGCCTAACTGTACTTCATGTAAAGTCAATGAAAGCATTGCTAATCTAGTATCTCAGAATCAGAAAACATCACCTAAACTATAAATGTAAAACTTAAATTATAACAGTCATATCAGTCCAGAGGAAAGGTCATTAGAGGAATCTAAAAATAAAATTTAAGGCAGACAGCCATCCAAGATATAACTAATTCAGACAATTATATTTTTAGTGTCAGCACTGAAGCAGAAACTCTATTTTATGTTGGATTTGTCTTGAATGTATTTAAGAATCAGGAATGGAGACACAGATACCATCAGTTATAACATGACTTTGATCTTTAAAATGCCCTGTGGAAAAAAATAAAAAACAAAATAAATAAATAAAAAATAAAATGCCCTGTGAGGTTCCAGAAAGCCTGTGAGGTTTCATAGAAAGAGTATAATGTGTTTGATAAATACAGAAGTTTCCACATTGCCTTGTTCATTAACCATACACATCGATGGTCCCAGGGAACAGTGAGACGTGAAATTTTCATACACACTTGAAAGTTCCCGTTTGCCATCAGTTTCTATACCCCATACCCAGAGGGCAGGTTCTGCCTCTACAATAAGGGCAGCATCATGCTAAAATAAAATATAAGTAAATATTTTATAAGAAATATAAGCAGGTCTCCTGATTAACTCATTTTCTTCTCTAGATCTCTGTTGAATTTCTAACATTTTGCTTAAATTATATTCATTATCACGAGTGGAGCTTATCTATTCTTGTCTAGTATTTTTTAGAAACTTGTTTTGAGCCTTCATTACAAGCTAGACACTTTGCTAAAGAAGCTTGATACCATTATTAACTCTCTATAATTGGTAAATCTAAAGTGTAAGCAAGCTCAGTGTCAGAAAGAGACTGTAGTGAAAACACGCTTTTCTAGAATAATTCTGAAAAACAAATATTTTCCCATTGAAATTTAAGAATAACTCAACTTCCATGGAAACAGATAAATGAACAGAGCCAGTGAGAATATTTTTTCATATTTGGACTAGAAGACAACTGATATATATTTTCTTGATAGAAATAAATCACTATTCTGTGAAACTGAGAGCTTATGATTATAATTTGAAAAAGATGATTGATCAAGATAAAATTTCACAAATGTCATATTGTCATTTCATAATTTATTAACTGTTTAGCTTGCATCTTATGTAACAGGGAAATATCAACTTAAAAGAATACTAGAAGACCATCTATGCCAACCGCATACTTCTTATTTAAACTTTACATTGATTCTTTGCCATATTAAGTATCTTGATTGAAAGTGTGACAGAATCAAATGGCTCCATTTTAAGTAATTCATTTCCTTTTATGGTGACAAAATATGTTTCATGTACCTTCTATTAAAATATAACCTAATTTTGTTTTTCTAACAGCTCTGCTGCATTCCATGAAGCACATAATACATGCATTTCAAGTGTACAGTTTCAACTTTTAAGTATGTTAACAGAGTTGTTAAACTATTATCACAATCCATATTAGAACATTTTCATTGTCTCAAAAGAAAAACCCTTATATTTAACAATCAACTTCACATCCTAGCCCAGAACTTTTAAAATCACAAAGTATTTAATCTACTTTCTCTAGTTATAAATTTTCCTAATATAATTATTGCTCATGTATCTTGATTTCTGCACTTACCTTACCATAATGTCCACAGGTGCATCATCATTCTCACAAATAGGAGAATAGGATCCCCTTCATACATGTGTGTGCATGCATGGGCACATACTACATTTTTGTTAAGCATTTATTTGACATTAAAGGCTTAGTTTACATCCAATCTTGGCTTTTCTACACAGGGCTACACTGACAAGTTGACATAGAAGAACATATGTCACCTAAAGGAATATGCTTCAGCTCCTTTGGGTATATTCTCAAATATACTAAGCAATAGGGAGAGCCTCATCCTGCCCCCAAACTTGCCCTTCCTCCTGCAACCTCGATAGAACTCTGAAACATAGCTTGCTACAATACTGAGGGGAGCAAGAGGAGAGTGTTCTACTGAGCGGACCAAGAGAGGACATAAGGGACAAGCTATGGCTGCACAGAGTGGACAAAGAAGGCAAACCAGGAGCGTATACCAAGAGTGCAGGCGAAGAGAGACCTCAGTGGTTCCCTGAGACCCAGATATTGATAGTAAAGAGAAGACTAAGAACAATTCCCCAAGACTAAGACAGCCGCTGCAAAGATTGGACCAAGATGTAAAGACACTGCTGGCATCAATTGACGGAAGAGATAGGTAGGTGTCAATGCAAGAATTCTTTCAATAACCGAAAATGCAACGTGGGAACACCAGAACTCAGTGGCCACACAACAGGAAGACTTGATCAGAGCAGAAGAAAATGATTCTAAATGCAACTTTATGAAGATGATGGAGACCTTTAAAGAGGAAATGACAAACCCCCATAAAGAAACAGAAGAAAAGATGAACAAAAAAATGGAAGAAATTAATAAATTCCTCAAAGAAATCCAAGAAAACCAAGAAAAAAACAATCATACATGTGAAACTAACAGTTCAAGACTTGAAGATAAATAGAGGAAATAAAGAAAACACAAAGTGGAGGAATTCTGGATATGAAAAATCTGGGTAAAAGAACAATAACTACAGAAGCAAGTATAACTAACAGAATACAAGAGATAGAAAAGAGACTCTAAGGTGTTGAAGATATTATAGAGGAAATCAATTCATTGGTCAAAGAAAACAGTAAATCCAACAAATTTTTAAAACAAAATAATCATGAAATCTGGGACACATGAAAAGACCAAAACTAAGAATAATAAAGATAGAAGAAGGAGAACTCCAGCTCAAAGGGACAGAAAATATATTCAACAAAATCATACAAGAAAACTTCCCCAACCTAAAGAAGGACATCCTTAGGAAGGTACAAGAAGCTTACAGAACACCAAATAGACTGGATCAAAAAAAAAAAGTCCCCTCACCATGTAATAATCAAAATGCAAAACATACAAAATAAAAGAATATTAAGATCTGCAAAGGAAAAAGGGCAAGTAATATATAAAGGTATATCTATTAGAATTACATCCAACTTCTCAATGGAAACCATGAAAGTCAGAAGGTAC